ATTAGTTATTTAATTACTAATATTATTAATAATGAATAACTATATTTAATAAATTGAAGGCGTGAAATCCGTACACAAAGCCTTCACACCCAGCTTATATCACAATGCAAATACACCAGTAATCACAAACAACTGCTCTCTTAAATTATAACAGAATTTATTTAAACAAAGCAACATCAACCCAAAATCAACGAACTCAATTAAACAAATAACTATTATAAACTAATCTAAGCAACAAACATTATCAAGCAAAGGCTTGTGGATGAGGTGTAAATGTGTGTGTGTGCAGATGAGTATGTATGTAGATGTGAGAGAAAGAGAGAACAAGATGGTGGAGAGAGACAATGCACCATGTGGCTTCGTCACATGGTGACAAAAATGGTGGACAACAAAGGAAGCCATGTGGCTACCTTTTGAAATAGTTTGAGCTCTCTGAGCTGAGTTCAGTAACTGTTACTTAAACACCAGAAAGCCAGTGGCCGGACTTTGATTCAACGGCGGGTACACTGGTCTTTCTGATTGTGAAAGCCGTTGACTGAAGGTAAACTAGCATAGCATTAAACACATAGACGAACACAGCAGTTCATTACAATAAAACAAATGCAGTAGCTTACAACAGATAATATACAGAATGTGACGTGTCGTCAACAATGATGCATAATTATCAGTGGTTATAAAAGAAACATAACTATTTCTGAAACTATTTCTGCCCAGACCAAAGCTCTTACTTGGGGTAACTCCTGGTGATCGTTGCAAAGTTGGTTAGATCGTCACTCTGTTGAATGTTAAATCAACAGATTCAGGCAGGTTTCCTTCGTGGCAGATGTAGGAGGAGGGTAGCGGGATTCAGATCTTCGACCAGAGCGCTGCTCTATAGGGTCTTCTGGTTGCAGGAGCCGAGTTCTTTGTGTCCTTGTGGATTCAGGGATCAGTGGGCTTCCTTCAGCGCTCCTGTCCAGTTGCGTTCAATGACGTCTTACGAAAAATCAAAGGAAAGAAACTCTTCTTTTTGCTCAAACCTGATAGCATCTGATTGCGCCCAAAACTCCTAAAAATATGCAGTGGAAGTAATCAGCTGAATCCTCTGATGCTTGAATTCAGCATGTGAAGAGCTACCTATACTGAGCAACCTCAGCTCTGGAGTTTAACCTATGTAAGTCAAGAGGAGGAAAGGCTTTGTCTCGAATGCTGGAGTCCATCATATGGAGAGGGTATCCTCTGGTGTCGGCAGACCACACTTGAAGAGAAGGAAGCAATGCCTGGTGATTGCTTTAAAAGACTGGAGCTGCCTGTGGGTTTACCTCAGGCCTCCTCCAATGCGGATAGAGAATTCAAACACCCCCCCCCACTTTTCACACCTATTTGTTGGTTTCTGTTGGGGGGTTGCTGGGCTAAGACCCCTTTGTTCAGTTCCCTCCAAAATACTCTAGTCAGGCTTGAGAACTGTGATACAGGCCTGAGTCGCTTGTCCCATGCACATGGCTGAGGCCCAACACTATTTAATCAGGGTAAAGGAAAGGGTTGACTTATAATTCTGCATTGACTCTACGTCGTAGTGGTCTATGCTGTCATGAACACTACATACTTGTGTGTTGGTGTGTCTGCATAGTTCTGCAATACTTCACCTACAAACGCCAGCTACCGGTTCCACCACATTGTCTGCTTGCAGGACACTGTGTATCGTCTCATGATGAACTTTGAATGCTCACACATCTCACACCCACACACATATTATTATTATTAGTGTGGATTATGCAACAAAATAGATACTTTTATTAACGTATGGCGATGAAAATGTCCAACCCTGTAGGAGAGTGTTGAAATAATTTTCCAGGACAACATGTGATTTTCCAGGGCATTTGACTTTTTCTCTGATTTTCCAGTACTGGAAAATTAGTCAACTGTTTTCCAGGTTTTCCAGGACGGGTGGGAACCCTTCCCTTAGTTTTGTGTTTCATGCAGACACTTTCTTTGAGACAAACGGGGGGGAAAGGTGTGTAATCACCTCCCTCTTCTCTGCTCAGAGTATAAATATCACCATCTTGGTGCATCTTGTGCTGGTTGGGTTAAAGAGGTTTTTGTATTGTCTTTTTTTCTGTTTGGATTCTTTTTGCTTTGTTCTTTTTATGCATTTGCTGTACATCAAAGCACTTTGTAAACGTGTGTTTTTTAGAGGTGCTATAGATATTAAGTTATTATTATTATTAGAAGAACATAGAGAAGGTTTTTCTTCTCTCTCCCCTCTTAGCTTGCAAGAGGAATGAACTTCCAAACCTTCCCAGGAAACAATGAGGCTTTACCCGTATTAGTCAATTATCTCTGAGATGGAACTTCTTTTCAATTGCCACACCTTTACCAGAAACAAGAAAGGTTTCCTCATTCTTGGGAAATTATTTTAAGTGTAGGAATGTACACAGGGAGGGTTGTATTTGTTTGAGGTTGTTGGGTTTAAATATTAAGAACTCTACAGAATCACCCCGCCTCCGATTGTCAAAAATTTGACCACTATTGTTTAATTGTAATAACAATAATTGCTGTGTGTCCAGAAAGCAGCATGTCTTGTTTTTAATGGTATGATTTGATTTGATTTGTTCATGTTAAGTAGCAGAATATGAATCATGGAGACTAATCAGGCATTTTATTAATCACCCTTCATGTTGTCGAAGCACAGAGTGTTTTAGTATTTAATCTGGAGAAAGTGTGTCGGAATTGTTTACATGTTTGTATCTGTGTGGCTCGTGTAGCCATCTCACCTTTAATGATTATATTTCTGTACATTTGGTCTTTTTTCAAAGCAGGTTACCAACTATGCGTGTGTAAAAAAGCTTACTTCGTTTATATATTTTCTAAATGCCCTGATTGTGTAGTTTAACTTCTGCAACAACTGAATGGTTTTTCTTCATCTGAGGTAGAAACTGTTGCTCTCGCTCAGATTTGAATCTTAAAAGTTTGTAATCAGAACATACCTGAACATGTTCCCATGATTAGGTTTGTATACAGTCAGTATGAGTAAAGAGATACATGAAGGTGAGGTGTTTGGATTCTTTTTGCTTTGTTCTTTTTATGCATTTGCTGTACATCAAAGCACTTTGTAAACGTGTGTTTTTTAGAGGTGCTATAGATATTAAGTTATTATTATTATTAGAAGAACATAGAGAAGGTTTTTTCTTCTCTCTCCCCTCTTAGCTTGCAAGAGGAATGAACTTCCAAACCTTCCCAGGAAACAATGAGGCTTTACCCGTATTAGTCAATTATCTCTGAGATGGAACTTCTTTTCAATTGCCACACCTTTACCAGAAACAAGAAAGGTTTCCTCATTCTTGGGAAATTATTTTAAGTGTAGGAATGTACACAGGGAGGCTTGTATTTGTTTGAGGTTGTTGGGTTTAAATATTAAGAACTCTACAGAATCACCCCGCCTCCGATTGTCAAAAATTTGACCACTATTGTTTAATTGTAATAACAATAATTGCTGTGTGTCCAGAAAGCAGCATGTCTTGTTTTTAATGGTATGATTTGATTTGATTTGTTCATGTTAAGTAGCAGAATATGAATCATGGAGACTAATCAGGCATTTTATTAATCACCCTTCATGTTGTCGAAGCACAGAGTGTTTTAGTATTTAATCTGGAGAAAGTGTGTCGGAATTGTTTACATGTTTGTATCTGTGTGGCTCGTGTAGCCATCTCACCTTTAATGATTATATTTCTGTACGTTTGGTCTTTTTTCAAAGCAGGTTACCAACTATGCGTGTGTAAAAAAGCTTACTTCATTTATATATTTTCTAAATGCCCTGATTGTGTAGTTTAACTTCTGCAACAACTGAATGGTTTTTCTTCATCTGAGGTAGAAACTGTTGCTCTCGCTCAGATTTGAATCTTAAAAGTTTGTAATCAGAACATACCTGAACATGTTCCCATGATTAGGTTTGTATACAGTCAGTATGAGTAAAGAGATACATGAAGGTGAGGTGTTTGGATTCTTTTTGCTTTGTTCTTTTTATGCATTTGCTGTACATCAAAGCACTTTGTAAACGTGTGTTTTTTAGAGGTGCTATAGATATTAAGTTATTATTATTATTAGAAGAACATAGAGAAGGTTTTTTCTTCTCTCTCCCCTCTTAGCTTGCAAGAGGAATGAACTTCCAAACCTTCCCAGGAAACAATGAGGCTTTACCCGTATTAGTCAATTATCTCTGAGATGGAACTTCTTTTCAATTGCCACACCTTTACCAGAAACAAGAAAGGTTTCCTCATTCTTGGGAAATTATTTTAAGTGTAGGAATGTACACAGGGAGGGTTGTATTTGTTTGAGGTTGTTGGGTTTAAATATTAAGAACTCTACAGAATCACCCCGCCTCCGATTGTCAAAAATTTGACCACTATTGTTTAATTGTAATAACAATAATTGCTGTGTGTCCAGAAAGCAGCATGTCTTGTTTTTAATGGTATGATTTGATTTGATTTGTTCATGTTAAGTAGCAGAATATGAATCATGGAGACTAATCAGGCATTTTATTAATCACCCTTCATGTTGTCGAAGCACAGAGTGTTTTAGTATTTAATCTGGAGAAAGTGTGTCGGAATTGTTTACATGTTTGTATCTGTGTGGCTCGTGTAGCCATCTCACCTTTAATGATTATATTTCTGTATGTTTGGTCTTTTTTCAAAGCAGGTTACCAACTATGGGTGTGTAAAAAAAGCTTACTTCGTTTATATATTTTCTAAATGCCCTGATTGTGTAGTTTAACTTCTGCAACAACTGAATGGTTTTTCTTCATCTGAGGTAGAAACTGTTGCTCTCGCTCAGATTTGAATCTTAAAAGTTTGTAATCAGAACATACCTGAACATGTTCCCATGATTAGGTTTGTATACAGTCAGTATAAGTAAAGAGATACATGAAGGTGAGGTACCTGTGTGTCTCTAAGTTCTGATTGAGTTTCCAGAAGAACGACTCTGCTCATCAGGTTCTCCCAGCTCTCTCTTGAGATGATCACCACGCCACCTTCACTCTGTGAGAAACATTTCATAAAGAAGATTTCCTCTGCTGTCTGACTGATGAGGGAAATAACTGATGATAAAGAGTGAGTGCTGAACCTTATCTGTGTGTCTCCGTCTCTCCAGGTCTTCCAGGCGTCTCTCCAGGACTCTGATCCGGTCCAGTCCAGGCTGCAGACTCTGTAGCTGGGCCTCCAGAGCTGAGAGTCGTCCCTCTAGCTCTGAGTGAGACTGAGACACAGACCAGACTGATTTTACATCCAGAAGAGTAGTATGTAAATAAAAACAGAATGTGATGATATGCAAAACAGTAATGCCCCATATTTCACTGAAAATAGCTCAAAGACAACATTACAAATGTTGAAATGAAATATTTCACTGTTTTGGGAAAACGATATGCTCATTTTTAATGTGATGCCAGATCCATCCATCCATCCATTATCTATATCGCTTTTCCCTTTAATGGTCGCAGGGGGCTGGAGCCAATCCCAGTTGTCATTGGGGCGAGAGCAGGGAAATACAGAGGCTTTTTAGGTAGGGTAGAGTCACTTCTATCTGAACCATTTTGCTTGCCCGCTTTCATTGCTGCAACACCTGTTGGTTTGTTGTTTGCCTGGCAATCTGAGGGGCGCCCAAAACCGTTGTGTCGGGGTTCCTTAAAACCGCCTTCCTTCTCTGGTCCAAACAAATCCAGAGCATTCAGGACCAGAATCTAAAGTTAGGAGGAGGACATACTGGCTGCTGCATTGTTGTCAGAGAAGCCAGCACTTCAACACAGCATGTTTACTTAATGTCTGATCATATAGTAAGATCACTTTATCATTTCATTCAGTTGATATTTAATATATTGCTCCTTAAAATATGGTTGGCTATCCGTCAAAGATGATCATCTCCTCCATGTTAATTTTTTAACCAAGAGGAACTAAACATCTTGTTTTATTGAAATCTTTTTGGATCCAAATATTTTAAGGTAATTCAATTTAATAACTAGAGATGGGCAGATGATACAAAAGCTCTAAAATCTTTCTTTCCACCCATTCTGTCTGGTTTTGTGTAAAATAGAGAAAATAAAAAATGTTTCATGACCTCTGGAGCTTTTAAGAATCACTGCTTTCCAAAAAGCTTCATTCATTTTCACAATTTAGAAAGTTTAACAGCTAAGAAATCAGAGACACACCGATCCACTTTTTTGGGGGATTTCACTTATATTTGACTTTGTTGTGTTATTTCTGTGCTGTCGTTTTGGAACAATCTGGCTCTAGAATTCTCTTTACAATAATGAAAGTGAAACGTTTTCTTAATTTATTAAAGTGCAGTGTGGTGCTGAGAACTGCTATACCTTTAACAGCCACCAGATGTCGCTGTGTTTGCAGAGATTGAGGTAATGAATAAGGCCTTCATCAGGCCCGTCACTGTATTTGCCTGATAGAGACTCACCTGAAGGCGGTCGCCCTCCTGCTCATCTTCCTCCTCCTCTTCCTCCTCATCTGCCTCCTCCTCTGTGATCATGTTTCCAGGAGAACTGGAGGAGAACCTTTCTGCATGAAAGATGGATTGATATTCTGTGTGATTCACTACGAGTGGCTGATCAGGCGCCTAAAAAACAAACACAAAGGCATTAAATTGAAGAAAATGAACTTAGCTCACTGATTAAGAAGTCTAATACACGACCTGTCTGACTCTTCTCACCTGATTAAAGCACTGATTTAAGAAAGCAACCTTCTACACTCCACTTATGATTAGTGTGGGCTGAACTTCTCCTCTGCCAATCCGGCCTGCCCTCCTTGTTCTGGGCCGGACATCTGACTCTGGGCTACAAAAAACAAGAAAACACACATGTTGAAAGGTTGGATCATGAAGGGGTAATGTCAAAGTGCCAGGTGGACAGAGAGGGGAGAAGGGAGGATAAAAACATAATGGATGGAGGGATGGATAAAGACACAATGAATACAGGATGAGGAGGCAGGTAGTGATAACGGAGAGATGAGCTGGTGATGAGGATGGAGCAAAACTGTTTTGTTTTTTTAACAGAAATGAAGTTAAGAAAAAGTCATTTACTTGTGACAGCAGCTAAATAAACACGTGCGATACCAGTCATCCTTGTACAGTTGTCTTTCAGAATATTGGTGATGTTTTGTCTGTATGTGTTTTTACCCTGTGTTTTTTATTTTGCTTGTCTTTTAAATGTTTTCTAATGGACTCCTGAGGCTGGCAATAGAGATGGTGATGATGATGATGATGAAACAGTGTGAAGGTTCAACTCGCAGTTGATCCCCTCAACAACAACACTTTAAGGCCCCTTAAAGCTCCACCTAGCGTTTTATCGTACCAGAAAAGCGTGGTTGTGCACTCGGGGGGCATTAGCACGAAGCATTTGTGCGCTGAGAAGAAAAGCGCTGCACATCTGTCCATGGCAACAGTCAGCTGACAACGGCAGCTGATTGACTGACACTGCTCTGTTACTTTTTACTGTATGTTTTTTATTTCAGATTGTTTATTTCTCGATCAAACACAAAGAGGATGTGGGTACAAGACATGATCGTAGGCGGTAAAACTACGGGGGTATTATATATTTGGTAAAAGAGTGCCGGTGACGTCAACAGCGCCTTTCTGAAAAGTTGAGGGATTCTCAACTTGAGCGCTCGGTGTGACCGCACGAAAAAGGAGAAGGGCGCTGTGCCTTTTCTCCAGGCGGCTGCTTTCTGCTGCGCACGCTGTCTGCTCATTGAAAACAACGCTAGGTGGACACGGGGCCTGACAAAAGTTAGTTACATAATAAACAAAGTAAATATTTACTGCCATATATGTTATTGCACATTTAAAAATGATGTGTAGAATACAAATATGACCCTTTTCTACATGACAGATACATTCCAGAAAAAATATCACTAAAATAATGGGTGCAATATTTAAATTTATACGTGGATTTCCTCTTTTAATTTTCTTAAATCCATTAATTTTGAACATTAAGTTCTATTATTATGTTTAAAGTACAATAGCAAAAATACAAACATGCAAAGACAGCAGATGTGATTCTTTGATCTCGGACTGTTCTTTCATACAGAAACAGGAAGTCCTCTGATGGTAGAGATCAAATAACAACTTTAATGAAGAAGAAGTGACATTATTCAAACCTTTTTCAGCTGGTTGTGTTTCTGCTGCACAAAGTTAATGACGTCACACACCACAGAGATTTTCCTCTGAGAGAAACCCCACTGCAGGAACTGCTGCTTGGTCAGGACGGGCTTATAGTGGAAGATATCTCTCAGCACCCACACACACACACACACACACACCACACACACACACACACACACACACACACACACACACACACACACACACACGTTAACAACCACTACAGACTGCTAGATTTACAGTGAGGTAGAGAAACAGTGGAGGGTTTCCAGTTTGGGGAGTTCAGAAATGTATCCCTGCTTTATGCAAATGATGTTGTTCAGATTTGGCTTCTTCAATCTGGGACCTCCAGCAGGCCTTGGGGCGGTTTGCAGCAGAGGCAGAAGAAGTCGGGATGAGGGTCAGCAACTCCAAGTCTGAGGCAATGGTTGTATGTCTGAAAAACATTGGATTGCTCCCACCGCGTGGGGAGTGAGCACCTGCCTCAGCTCAAGGAGTTGAAGTATCCTGGGGTCTTGTTCTCGAGGAAAGGAAAAAAGGATTGTGATACTGACAGTCAGATAGGGACAGCGTCAGCAGTATTGTGCCAGACCGTCGTTATGAAGAGGGAGCTGAGTCGAAAGGCAAAGCTTTCAATTTACCGGTTGATCTACATTTCAATCCTTACCTATAGTCATGAGCTATGGGTAGTGATGAAAGAATAAAATAGTGAATAAAAGTGGCTGAAATAAGTTTCCTCCAGAGGAGGGCTGGGCTCAGCCTTAGAGGTAGGGTGAGGAGCTCAGATATCCGGAAGGAGCACAGAGAAGAGCTGCAGCTCCTTCGCATTGGAAGGGGCCAGTAAAGGTTGTTTTTCTTTTCATTGAACAATTCACAGAACCCAGGATATTCATAATCTGGGACAGCCTCATTCGCCGTGGGGAGAAGAGGGCAAGGGAGACCATCGGGACCAACCTTGGTCTGGATGCCCGGGTCCAGTGGGTTGGCTGGGGGTGGCATGGTCTGGAGGAACTTTCTCCCCTTCTTTCACCAGTGTCTTCAAGGAAGAGCTGTTCCAGATGTCCTGCTCATTCACTGCGGCGGGAATGACCTTGGCCGAGTGAAAGGTATCATGCTCGTCGCACGATCTCCATCGGCAGTTCCCCCAGATGAGGATCATCTTCTCGGCCATCATCTAGAGGAGCCGGTGGAGATCTTGCAGCCCGAAGAAAATGAACGAAGCCCGTCTCTTTGTGAACAGTGTGATGGCTTCCATTATTTCATCTGTTGATAGATGCATTGTGCATCATCCTCAGATAAAGTTTAGGGATCTTGGCCTTTTTTTGAGAAATGTTATATTTTTAAATAATATCACCCTTTGTTTGAAAGACCAAATCCAGTAGGATGGTGCTGGATGTGGTTTTTCAAACAAAATCTTTGCAGGGAAAAAAAAAACAAGATTTACCTTTACTTTAAGAGCTTGATGTTCAATCATTCTATTGTTTAAATATTTATCTACGCAAGTTTGTGTTCTTTTTAGCAAACAAGGGTAGTCATCACACTGTTCAGGTCTGTCACAGCTCTTCCTCCCACTCTATCTTTTCTCTCCCCTTTCTTTTACCCCCCCCCCCCAAACTCTGCTGTACCCCAGCCATTCCACCTGATGGTATCCTTTACTTTTTTCTCCCCACGGCGAACCCTTTGGACTGTGGAAGGAAGCCCTCACAGAAACAAAAATAGTTATTACTTAGTTTATTATTATACTTACTGCTATACTTGTACCTCAAACCTATTCTAGTTCTATCATGCAGCTCAAGGGGTTCTGGTTGTATTACCAGTATTACTCCAGGTACGGCTGATCCTGATTCAGTACTTAATTGGCAAGTTGCACTATGAAACCAGTAGGGGGCATCAGGTAATCAATAACCTGCAAAACAGGTACATATGTCTATATTTCACGGTTTAATCCTTTTGGGTTACTTTGAACAAACCGCCCCAGATTCTGAACTTTCCTGTCCTTTATATTAAAAATAAAATTAATATCTGAAGACCCTTATTTGTAGTATTACGGACAAGTGGCAATGAATGAAGCCAATGTGGAAGTGCAAAATCCTGCAGTTTGTCGAGTGTCCGCCTGAGGCTGGCTCCAGGAATACAGGAAGTCAAATACACACCACGTTCAAAATAGGCTGTTTCAGAGTAGAAATAACAAGTTTGTGCAGAGGCCTCAGGGCAGGCAGCCTAGGTTGCAATATGACATGTGGTTCCTGTGTGTTGTTCCCCGCTCTGTCCACGGCCCTGTCTCTCTAATGAAGGCATAAAAACAGCACAAAAATGAATGTTTAACAAATAAATATAAAAGATCATGAATTGAAATAAATAATGTGTGTGCTTTCCTTCACAACACAACATTTATACACAGGCCGCCCACTCACCACAACAAGGTGCAGGCCATGAGGACACAGGACAAGACATACTTGGAAAACAAAACAAACTCAGACAGGACACATGCAAATACAATGAAAAACATATTTGGACACAACAAATGCAGAACTTTGTCCTGAATAGAACTATAAATGTACAATATTTACATAATATATATATATTTTTTTTTTATTTTTTTTTTTATTTTACATGTATTGAATTCAAGTACTTACAAACTCTAAACTGTAAAGTGCAAACCTACAAAACCTATTTTTTCTCTCTGTGTAGAACAAAGGGGATATTTTTTTTTAAACTTAGATAAACTCTAAAGTGCAAACATGCCAACAGACTTTGCTGAGAACAATTTGTGAACTTATTTACATAGAACCGCAGTAAAAAGTTCATTTACAATTATATTTAAGAGGAAGCCAGCGCAGGTATCCCTCCTCACTAAAGACATACCTCTTGTGTTACTTCGGGGAAACAAGCGGAAGCGAATACGAAGGAAAAGAGGATCAAGAGGAGGGATATGTAACAGGCTAAGGAGGAGAGGCAGCCGGCTACCTTTACCTGCCATAACCCTATCCAACGTGCGATCGCTACGGAATAAGGCTGAGGAACTCTCCACTCTCGTCAGGTTCGATCTGGATTATCGGCAAACCAGCCTTTTCTGTTTCACAGAGACATGGCTGACTGGGGATGCGGACTTACCTCTAGATGGCTTTAACATCATTCGCTTTGACAGAGATGTGTCGAAAACGCAGAAGACGATTGGGGGCGGGCTCTGCATGGCTGTCAACTGCAAATGGGCAACACACTTCACGGTAAGGGAAACTGAGTGCTGTAAACACTACGAAATAATGACTGTGTCCTTCAGACCACACTATTTACCCAGAGAGTTCTCCCAGATTACTGTCGTTTTAGTGTCTGTACCAGGGCCGGATTTCAACCTCGCTGCTGAGCACATATCTGATTGTTATAACAGAGCTGTCAATCAGACCGGAGAGCAGCCAGTGTTTGTACTGGGGGACTTTAACAGGTGTGACATC